CGGGAAGAGTGCAATTGTTGGCATTACACCTGACCGGAGCGTTCGGGTCATTCTCGGGGTCACAATAAGACTCGTCCGATGCGTCCGCGCAATCGATTTGACCCTATGTTCACACGTTTTAAATATTGATTAAATTAATTGTAATATTTAAAAATGCTATGTCTTTACGTCACAAAACAGGTCTCTATTAATGCACTTTCTGTCGGCACAGGCTAATTGACCGCTCGGACAGATGGGCTCTTCGGTGGCCAATAGCGGACGCGGAGTACTGGCGTCTGAAGCGAAGAGTAAAAATGGTTAAATTGTGAAAACCACATGAAAACCACAATTATTGTTACAAATATTTATAATTTGCAGTCAAATACCGTGAGATTTCTCGCAATTATCAATTTTGAGCTTAAAATCACAGATCTGTCGGTCGACATCAAACCATAGACCGGCAGCGCATCGAAATTCAAGCACTTTTAGTCGCGGACACCAGTAGTACTTCGCACAGTCTCTTCTGCCGATGGCATCGGGATTGCGGTAAAATTTGCCGTTGTCTATACAGGGCACTCCATCCGCAGACCCTACCATTCATTTGGTATCATTAGATATAGTTGTAATTCAATCATTTTTCACTTATTTAAGTTATTTGAAATAAATATATAAATAATATATCAAATATTTGCTATTTGTTATCATTTAAATTTCTATTTTTGTATTTATTTAATTTAGAAATGAAACCACGAATTATAGAAATTTGTGATATATTTTTAGTTATTAAATGACATGAAATTTGTGCCCCGAGTGTTGTTGCAATTAATATGTAACTCATCACACATTCATACACTTAATGTTAACTTTCATTAATTTTTTTACAAGCATTTCCTTAAAAATAAAGTTACTCCAGGATTAAGAAAATAAAAAAATTATTTATAAAGGTTTTATTTTAATGAACAGAATAACAAAACAACAAGTTTGATTTTAGTTTAATTGATTTTAATAAAATAAAATACATCTCAAAAGTTGTTTATAAGGTATGAAATCAACTTTAAATGAAAAACAACTCAAAAATTGAATTATATAAAAAAAACTAAATATACAGTAATATAATTCAAAACTTCCTGAAAATGTGTAACAAATAAAAAGCGTTATATTTATGACAAATTTGCTTTGATTTTGATCCAAAGCATAAGATTTAAGTAATATTTCTTTAAAATATTGCTATTACGTGGAAGTAAGCATTGATTATCAAGGTAACTTATTTTAGAAAATTAGCTGCTAAGTTTTAACATTATAATAAGTAAGAGCTAAATATTAGAATTATTCAATTGACAAATAAAATAGTTTTAATTAACACTAAAAATATGTGATTAACTAAATGGTCGCTTACCATCTTCATCAGAATCACCGCATAATACAAATGATAGGTTTAACAAAATTAAAGCACAAAATACATCAAACTTTGAAACTCTTATCATTTCTTATAACATTTATTAGACGCTTATATACTGATTGAGTTATTATACAAACAGTTATAAGAAGATGAGAGCCGATGAATATAAACACTGTTTAATGAATTTAAGGGCAAAACTAAATTTAAAAAGCTTTTGTGTGGAAGTGGTGAACAAAACAGGACTAATTGTAATGACAGGCCTTAAAGCTGGTCACGTACTGACACTTTAATGCGATTCAATAGCTTTTTAATAAAAAACTGGTGCTTATTATCATACGATTGGAGAGATTTAACGAGCCTATAGTGTGTGTGAAGACTAGATATTCATGAAAATAACAGCAATAACTGGCTTTTCAGAGACTACCGAAACGACTGCCAAAAGGCTAGATCTGAACAGATTTGGTGTTTCTTTTCATACATCATATGTTTGAC